CCGCCCCCGACGTCCCCGCCGCCGCCCCCGCCGCGGCCCGCGCGGCGAGCGTCGACTTCAGGCAGATGTCCGCCACCTACGCCAGCCAGACGGACGAGGACGGCAACGCCATCTACGAAGAGATCCTCGAGGACCCCATCTGCCCCAGCGGGCCGCCGCCGCCGCCGCCCCGCTTCGACTCGACGGAGGCGGACGACGTGCCCGGCGCCGGCGCCGGCGTCCCCCCGCCCCTGCCGCAGCGCGCGGGCGCGCCCGTGCCCGCGCTGCCTAGCCGCCCGGGGCAGGCGCCGCCCGTGCCCAACCGGCCCGTGGCGCCGCCCATACCCGCCCGCACCAACGGGCCGCCGCCCATCCCCGCGCGCACGGGCGACGCCCAGCCGCCCGCGCCCACGCCGCCCATGACACCGCGTCGCAACGCGAGCTGAGGGAAGCCACGCTATTGCATGGGCGACCGCCCGTTGTTGTCGCGAGACAAAAATGTTGAACCCACCTTCCAATTTGTTTTAAATAGTTTGGTCCGTTGTTGTAATTTATAATGTCAATTTTCTTTCCTTTTTGTTCCCCTTTTTCTTTGTTGTTTACTCGACTTTTGCACACTATTTTCCAGACCCTTGTGGGACTTGAACGTGTGTGTGGTGCGAGCTCTCCTTTATTTTGCACATTAGACTTCGTAGTCTTTGGTTTTGGAAGCAAACTATCTGTTTATGTAGTGTTTCAGTTTTAGTTTTCTAAAATGTTTTTGGCCTCGTTATACCTTAATGGTGAATCTTTGCATATTTTGGCAGTATTTTCTTGCTTGTGATCATTTTTTTACTTGAAATTTTATCAAGATTGTTTTATAGATGTTTATTTTTGTTTTAATGCAAATAATGTTATTGAAAGAGATTTTATGGAAAAGCCCTTTAAAAATGGCTTACGAGATACTCTTTAATGTATTCTTTATCTTTGTTGGATTTAATGATACTTGTGTAGGAAACTCAAACTGTTTCTACTACTTTTTGAGCAGATGACATGAGAACAGCTTGTCAAATACTTATAAACCACTGATGCATCTCTGCCTGTTGTAGAATGTTTTGGCTCTATTATACTATTAGCCCTTTACAAAATTACTAATCTCTTCTGTCATATCATCTAATCAAGGGTATCAATACAATTCGGACTTTCTGTCGCATCTTAGGTGTCCTTGTCCCACTCACTCGTTCATATATGTAACTTTAAATGTGGTGAACAATATTTTCAATAGATGCTTTTTGCTGGAAAGCAATATTTTGAAAAGAGGCTTTGGTTTACTTTTCTGTTCCTTGACCAAGTTCTCTAAACGCACCTGTAGTCGAACAATTTTTTTTTTATTTGTGATCTTATTTTTTTTTATTTCTCTGTGCTTCAGGGTCTAGATTTTATTATGAATATGGTATATGTTACATTGTTTCTTACGCAATCATGATGTTTAAGAACTTATTAATTTTATATTTGGAGATCCATTCAAAGCCTCTTTATCACTCAGTAGGTAGACCTTAAACGTAAAGAAAACCAAATGCCATTGGCTTGTGGTGCTCCTACCTATAATTTTAGTTGTCCTTTATTAACTGCTGCTGTTAATGATGAATCCAGTGGCAAAATAATGTATGTAGCACTCAAATTATTTTTTGTAACAAAAGAATGGTATATATCTATGTAAATTGTTTCCCTTTTTGTTTTCTTATAGCTGTCTAGTGCTATGTATCTTACAAAAAAAGGTAACACAAAGTATTTGAAACAAAAAAAAAATGCATGCGACAACAATATTAGACAGAAATTGTTGTGGAACAGATTCCAACATATTATCATTGAACTCTTTGAGCTTGATAACATAGCGGTATACGTATATTTCTTGAAGTATTGTTCTCATTGTTTCCAGTAAAGCACCATTCTGATATTATTGTTCAAGGGTCTGCATGGGAAAATTAAGAACAGAATATGTTGGTAAAACTTTCATCAAACTTGATTTTGTTTGTTGTTTTCTGGTCAGTTTGTAGAAGTTTTGCTCTTATTCCCTCTTTTGTGTCAGTGGCCCATGCTGATTCTGGTGAAGCTGTATTGTTAAGGCCATAAAGATATTTGTAGATCATTTATTGTTAGTGCAGAAGGTGACAAAACATTCCTTTAATTTGTTATGTGGAGGCTTCAGAAAACATTCCTTAGGTATTAATACACGCTTAAATTCTGTATTCTATTAAATTATTCAATAAGTCCAATGTTAATTGAAAGGTATGTATCAGAAGGCACATTCATTGTTTTTAAACCTTGTTGGTCATAAAAATGGTTCAAATGGTAGAGATTTAGTGATTGGCAGAGGTTTTAGAATTGCTTGAATAATGTAGGTGAGAACAATTTCTTAATGTTCTGCATAGCTTGTGAAGGCAGCTAAACCGCCCAATTACTGGAACCTTAGGGTGTCCACTTGTTACTACGTATGAAGCACTTGCGTTGTAGTCACCTTTCAATTTTGATCTGTGTGCTAGCCATTTGTGTATGTTGTTGTTTTTACAAGTATCAGTATTTCTTTTAACTTACATGAACACTTTGATCTCTACTTCTGAGTGATCCATTTCTCATTACCGTAAGTTCAAAATTTAATGTAATGTTTGCAATCCAGTTGGTTGTTTGCAGTTCACTCAATATGATTTCTAAATTAGTTATACAACTTCAAATCAAACTGTTCAGTTTCCTTGTAGATACAATTTTCCATCATTGAAAATTATCTTGCTGTGTCTGTAGCCATGTTCTTTTGGCTACATGGTCTTAAAAGAGTATCAGTCTTGAATTGCTAGTATATCTTCAGTTTCCTGTGTAATATTTTATCTAAGATTCATGACTGTGCCAATAATGACAAAGCACAGGAACGGAAAGAAGTATTTTAAAGTTCCTCTATTTCCAGTTGTCTGTAGCTAGTATCACCCCTGTAAACTAATTTAAGCTGAAAGCTGCCTAAATGATTTGACCATATTTCTATTTACTTTCCCCCACAGAAGCTAAATCTGGATTGGCTTCTTAAAGCTTTGTTGAAGATTTATTATCTGTTATTGGCAATTAAGTCTAGTAAATGTAGAATGGGCAATTCAATTAGTCACTTTAAAGCTCTCTGACATCTGAGTAGCCCTTGGGTTAGATTACAATTATAAATAGGATGTAATAAATTATTAATATCTGTGATTATTGTTTAGTGTGTACCTGTAAAAGGCATGAGCACTGTGTAGATGCTAACTAAACACCTATCCTAATACAGCAGAGTGTACTCATTACCAATGCCTGATGTATATCGATGCTAGGAGGAGCGGAGACAAAGTCACTATTGATTTTCTCCTTGTTACCAAAGCTTTGCAAAAAATACTTTAACCGAATATATGAAATGTGCATAGAAAAAAGTGAGGAAATGAATAAAGGAGATGTCGAAAATAGTACTGTGCTTTTTACGTTACTGCCCCTCCAAAAAAAAAGAGAAAAAAACACAAAATTTTGTTGTTGATGATGGCTGCATCTTGATTGGTGGTGCCAAAGCAGTCGCGCAACTACCGAACACGCCCGTTTTGCAGAGTACCGGAAGCGCGAGGAGGAGGTTGTGTTGTGTGTGTCCGTGTGTGTGTGTGTGGGAGG